TGTCTGCTAGAATGTTAAAAATGTTCAGTGTTAAATATTTTTAAATTGTTGTTTTGTAATTGATTTTTTCAAAACAGTAAAAAGCACATTTTGGCTTTTTAATTTATGCAATGGTGAAAACATTTTTTGGCAAAATACATGGGGAAAAAAGCTCGAAAAACTGTGTTCGGTATTCGGCCTTCGGCCCAGTGTTTAATTTTGTTTGGTTACGGCTTCAGCCAAGAATTTTCACTTCGGTGCATCCCTATTTATATTGTATTTATTTACAGAGGTATATTCAAAACGATATATCGGTCGGGCTCTACACATAACTATACTTACTACGTAATATGGAAAGTTAAAACTATTATCAGACATTGATATAATTTCTTTAGAAAATATCAAAATGTCAACTGCTTTTTAATATGAGATCTTGTCATTAAACCTAATCAATGGCTGGTAGTTTTGCCCATTCATTGTGGGCATATTGCTCCATTCTCTCAGGTTTGATGGGTGCTTCTCCTAACAGTTAGTTTCAGATGTTCAATTGGATTCAAACCCAAACTCATATAAGGCCACTTCAGAACGCGCCAGTGTTTTATTTTCAACCATTTTTAAGTGTTTATTGAGGCCTGTTTTGACTCATTATCCTGCTGGAGAACTCAGGACTTATGACTTGATTACAGATCTCTAATACAGGGCTGAATGTTCTGCTCTAAAATGACTTAATAGACCTCTGATTTTATGATGCCATGCACAGGTTAAAGGTATCTAGTGCCAGAGGCAGCAAAACACACCAAAACAAGAGTCTTCTTGCATTTTCTACCATGAAGAATATTTTCATTCGGAGGGTGACAGGTGGTTGCAAACTGTTGCACCTTGTGAACTTGGATTTGTTTTGTAGATTCCCTTGGTTCTTTCTATACCATTTGCACAATCTTTCATTGTAATCTTGAAATAATATTCTTCCCACTGCCATGTCCAGACACTGACACTGGTTATAGTCCCATGAACCCTAAACTTCTTTACAGTGAACACTTCTCTTCAATTAATCTGGCTGAATAAGTATGGAATACTTATCATAAAGTTGTAAACACTGGTCAAACTATTCAGGGAAGAATTATCAAATCAAATATCTCCCAAGAATACCAATAATATTATCCAGGCATTTTAGGATATCTTTGTACTAGTGTTGTCAAAAGACCCGATATTTCTGTACCAAGTCAGTACTAAAAAAATTAAAATGTTACGGTACCAGGTTTTCTTAAGTACAGGTGGACCGAGTATCCGGTTCTTGATGTGCTATCCGAAAGCTATCCTCTTCGTAAAAGCACTGAGACATGGCGAACTCAAGAGGAGGAAACGCATCAAACTAACAAAACACCTTAAAGACCGACACCCCGATCAAACGAAAGAGTTCAAGCAGGTAGGTTTCAATTAAATTTTTTATATTTATAGCTTCTGTTATGAATATTATTCCATATTTTAATTTGAATGTCGGATTGAAATAAACATCGCTGTTAGCATATACGTAGTTAATCGTAAGCATAAGCACGGCTAACGCTAATATAATGAGCATTAGAATTAAGTTTTTAATGCTCCTATAACTTTTATTTAGGGATGCACCCCGGTATCGGGCCCGATACTGGTCTCCTGTACTCGTACTCGTACAAATGCCCCTTAGTGTAAAAAACAGGAAGACGTAATGATATTTACTATTTGTACACACCAGAGACTTTTAAATGAACTGTTTATCCAAAATATGCGTTAGAGAATGTACAAATGTATGGTTAACAGTTTTTAAGTCATATCAGTCCGTCAGAAAAACAGTTCTGGGCTTTTTTTTTTTTTTTTAGTTAGTTGTTATTCTTGGCTGAATAACTCTAGCAGGATTTTAAAGCCGTTTAAAATTAAATATGAACACAGTTTGGATTAAATAAAAGTACAGTCAAATTTGATCTCCTGTATAGACTTTACAATGACTTCATGTTATCTAACATGAGTTAGATCTAGTAACATCTTACAGTGAATGAACAATATATTTTTTACAACATTCATTAATGTTTGTGAATGTACAAACACTTGATCATTCATGTTTGTTCATTGTGCATTAAATAATTTTAACAGATTGAACTTGATTTATGTATTAGTAAATTTTGAAATTAACCCCAAGAAGAAGAATTGCTATATAACTATTGTTTATTGTTAGGTCATGTTATCTAAATAATGGAATCTTATTGTAAATTGTTTTTAATACTACAGTTTCCATCTATTTGATATACACTTAATATATGTAATCTTATCTAAATTCATTATAAAAGCTGAGGTTTGTTCTTTACTGGAAAGTTATATTTTAGCTGGTGTCAATGATCTAATGTTGCATTTGGTCAGACTCAGTCCATTGCTTTACTTAAGTATATTATATTTTCCTTTTACAGCTGCAGACTGAGGAAGATCATGAAACACACCAGCAAACTCTAAAACAGACAACAGTTTACAGATGTTTTTCAGTGGCAGCAAAAATATGACAGAAACTTTTGGGTGAAACTTGTTTACTTTTTTCATACTTTTATTACTTGTGGAAAAACTTGAAACAATTTTAAATAAGTATAAAGAATGGCATTGGTTTTGTACATTTAATTTTTGTTTAACGTTATTAATAAAAAAATAATGTTGTTAAATTAGCATGTTTTTGTGTTTTGCTTTGGTACCGAGAACCGTGGATTTTCACTGGTATTGGTACCGAATACTGAAATTTTGTGACACCACTACTTTGTACAACAAAAATGATTTCAGTCCTTTATAAAGCTTTAAATTCCACTGCAAACAAAATTGCATGTGTTGATGACAAAAATGTATAATTGAACAGTTTTTAGCAATAAATGGTGCCTCATTGGTATTAAATGCAAGAAAACTGATACTCAACTGCTGAAAACATGCCTCGATTATTTTAACTAGAATTTTACTTGTATTGACTGTTTGATCGACGTGAAGATTCCTCTGATTGAAAAAGCACTCTTATAAACTTTGAGATATCTACCAAATATCAGTAGAACTGAATGAAAGAATTCAAGGATGACGAGGATACCTGACGTAGAGGGAGCGTTTCTCACTGGTGCGGAGGGAGCCGGAGCCAGAGCTCATGCTGCTGTTCATCATCTGCTCCCTCAAGTCGTGGATCTTGGACTCAAAACGACTGTATTCTGGAAAGAGACAAGGCACACAATCCGTCAGCAACACCTATATTTACAGTGATATTCTGGGCTTTGCTCCAGGTTTTTTGAGTGGAGGTGCTTGAAGCGCACGGCAGAGAAGGAAAGCTCAGCAGCTTATTGAGAACTGATTAATGACCTGGAGAACAGATGGATATTAATCATGTATCTGCATGAGCTATACACTAATATCTCCTGCCAGATAATTAATTATGCATATTAATTAATTAAGTAGAACATGCACTATTCGTATTCAGTATAAAGGAATGAAAACCTCCAACAAACGTCGGGACCATAATCATTTTTCACAGTGAACAAGGCTCTCGTTTTAGGGAGCAGCACTGAAGCATGATGGCTGATTGTTCGGCGGACTTTTAATTAAACGTGTACACCTCTGCTGCAGTGTGGTCGGGCAACTCACAAGCTTAGCAACCGAATTACACACTGAAATGCACGAGCAAACAACGATAACGCATAGCCAAGGAAAGACTATTGTTTTCTTAAGCACTGGGATTTACCTTATAAGTCCAATATAGATCACCCATAACAAAGACTTTATGATTTTTAACCTGCTCCGTAACCTTGTATCCAAGGATCAAAAGTCTACCTTCCAAATCTTCCAAAAAACAGAACCTGAGGCAGGAATTCTAATTTTTATGAGAATATGAGAACTTGAAAACTCATAATGGCAGTAACTCCAAGTCTAAAGCTCAACGCAAAGTCGAAACTTGGACTTCATTGTCAGCAGAAACTGCGCCTGCAGGGAGCTCTTCTGTAAACGCCCTGTTTATCACAAACGGGTTAACAACATGCTGGAATGACAGGGCAAGGTAAAGTAACCTGACACCACCTGCCTGTAACCAGGGGAACACCCCAGCAGAGAGGTGGAAGGAAATGGCTTGACAAACTTCTTGAAAAAACAATTATAGCAAAAAAAGAGAAGCTAAATGTACTGCATTAGAGAGAACCTTGTTTGCAATATAAAGCTTAGTATTCTAATTAGCCATCAGTAGCATCAAATCCACTGCACTCATCTGATAAAGAATAAAGCAGAAAGTAAATTCAGCCCACTGGTCAGACACTCTACGGGTAATACAATACACATATGACAGACGACACAGACAGCTGGGTCCTCTCAGCCTGTCAGACACACAGTTCACAACATTCAAAGGCTAATGCTAAAGCGCAAGGTCTTCGTTGTGACCCGTCAACACAAGATCTGGGGAGAATCTGGGCCAGCTCTGCCTCACACTCACATGGCCTCACTTGCCTTCATTATGTGCAGGGCTTTTATTTTTGGGGAGTGGGGATTGGCTGCAGGCTGCCTCTTTGTCAATGCAGTTACATAATATTGCAGCCATGTGCTTTCAATGTGAAAGCATGTATAGGCACTAGGTTAAGATTAGTACAGCCCTCTTAACAGGCATGCAAGTTAGTACCACAAACAGATTTTCTTTACTGAGTTCTGATTATTTTAAACTGATTTCTGAATTAATGAGCAATCTGTAACATCTCACAATTCCATGCGAAAAGACATTTTAGTATAATGATGTACAGTGTGAAAAAATGCATATTTCTTTTTGTGATTTGCTAAAGACTAGATTTAACAGTGTCATTCAATTATTAGTTTTTGAAGATTACCTTAAGTGAGCATTAGATGACAGCAAAGCCGACCAGTATACAACCAATACTCATAAATAAATAAAATAATAATAATAATATCAGTCAGTAGCCAGTATAGTTCAGACATACTATACATCCTTAAAAAATATATATATAATAGATATACTATACATTTCTAAAAAAAAAATTATATAATAGATATACTATACATTTCTAAAAAAAAATTTTTTAATTAAATAAAAATAACATCCCGAGAAAAAAAACAAAAAAAAAAACTAAACTGCATGAAACAATTATTTTATTATGCCAAAAAACAAAAACTTGTTTGAAAAAGTGCATTTTTTTGTTAAGAATTTTCATCCTTATTTTGGTGTCCAGATTCTTTAATGTTCTTTTTTTGTTGTTTTTTTACATGGAGCTATAACAGCTATTTTGCAAATGAACAAGTTTTGGTTGCTCTTAGTGTTCCAGTGCATTATGTATCGATTAGATAAAAAAGATGCAACCTGAAGTAGTGACAATTTTTCTGCATCGTTACGTACATTCAAGTTAAATGAATTATCGAAAAGAAAAACAAATGCAGACTGGGGACTTCAATCTACTCACTGGTTGTTGATTGGATGGAGGCAGATCCGAATGTGAGGTTACAGCTGACTGTAAGAAAGGGGTGGCGTTAAGTGGAGGAAATGATTGGATAACACCGTCATTTCACCGCCAGATTGATTTATAACATTCATAACAAGGTCAAAAAAATTTTTTACATTTGCAATAAGTTTGCAATCAGATCAATAGCATGAAATTTGAAAATAAGGGAACATTTCCTTTTAATGGTTTAAAATATATAAGGTGTAATTTATGTGCTTAACATGGAATGCAAGGCCAAATAAGAAAATGTGTTGAGAACGTTTGTCCATGCTAGAAACAAATGCATTTCAAGTTCACTCACTGTCCCCTAAGTTAATGTATGACAAGAGGTGTTCAAATTTTAACAGAAGCCAGTCTACAAATAGACTCTGTTTCTTTCTTACACACACACACACACACTCTCTCAAGTAAGAAGCCATAAGGTCTCTCATATTTCTGGTTCCCACCTAATTCAATGAGCTATTCTGGCACAAATTAATGTGTCACTTTTATTTCTATGTAGACGTAAGAGCCCTTGGGAGGGAGAGGCAGGCCATTTATACTCCAGGAGCATCTGACTAAGGAGGAATATGGGGGAGAGCATGCCGAAACAGATAACTTACACAGCAACATTCCTGTCATTGCTCACATAGACACCAGAGAATGAACTATGCACTGACATACTAAATATTAGTTACAGTGGTTATTAATGCACTTCAAATCTTGTCAAGGACTATAATTGATTTCCTATCCTCTGTGCCAGTCAAATGAATCCACGTTTTCTGATTAGTGTTTACAGCTAGTTAACACCATCTTTGACACATGATGTTTTTGGTCTAGAGAAATTATTTGAAAGTGTCAAATCATAATAAAGCAGCAGCAACACATTTAACATAAGATAAACAATATTACAAAGTTTTGTGTTGTAGTTTTCACTGAACTACAAAATGACAGTAATGTTTAGCATTTTTAGGTTAAGTGACTTCCTGAATGGGCCCTTCCCTGCACCTGTCCTCCTGATCTCTGCAGGAAGCTCCATATAATAACGCATTGAACAAACATGACGAAGAAACGTCAGGCCTCAAAGAACAAATATGCCGGATCATTCTGACAGAACTGAAGTTTAGTTCAAAGGTGAACTACCCTACTCTTCTTACTGAATGAAAGCACCATATTGCTTATGATAATATAAAATATTTAGCACTAAATGACTTACTGCTGCCTTCTGTTGTGTTTATGGTTTGAATATTAAACATTTCTCGAGAAATCCTCGAGCACACAGTTTACCTGTGTCGCGCAGCAACACAAACCTTCACTGACTTTAAACATATTAGGCTAGAAACAACCTTCATGACGTCAGGCCAACGGCTGAGCAGCTTCATAAGTTGTTTTCATGACTTTTATTAATCTTTAAACGCACTACACTATGTTGAACATGTAACTCGAGACAACAGAAATCCATTGTGAACACAAACAGCGACGCTTTCCCTTTTCAGCACAGCATATTGAAGCACATAAGGCAATTCAACTGCCAGTTCAACGTATAATAAAACCACACTGTGTTTTCCATACTTTACACAGATATTTCCTGAAAATACTCTATGAATATGAGTTGAGGTGATCTTACCCGGCGGCGTCTAAAGCGCTGTGTTCAGCTCAACCTCTCGTTGTCCAGCTCACTCCAAAAACATTTTAGGTAACTTAAGATAAAACGAGTCAAACAATGAAGAATAAACTAGCGAGCCGCACATCGGCGTGAGGAGGAAAATGTCGTTTTCTTAAGTTTAGAATCGACACGAAAGGTAAATAAATAGTAAAGAGTTTAATGAAAATGTTTCGGTCTGTCCTGCTTCGCTCCTCCCAATCCAAAAGCGGCACCTTCTTCTTTAAAACCGAGTCTCATTCGCGCTCGAGACGCGGGATTTCAATCCGTCCCGCTCACGCGACCAGCGCGCGCTTATTCCATATCTCCTGCCAAAGAGACTCTTGTGATCCAGCAGATGAAACCTAACCCTGCGCCAAAAATAAGCTTTCAAGCGGTAAAGTCAGGCTCTTCCGTCACTCTGTGGTTTTCAGTCCATTTAATTCTTTTCCCCCTCTTTTTTTTCTCTCAGGTTGATCCCTCCCACTTCTGGTACAGTTTCACCACAGGTTTCACCCCAGTACTTTCATTCAAGCTTGTGAACTAGTGTTGGGAAGTCCGAATCATTGAAGTGAATCGGTTCTTTTGAACAGTTCATTTCAAAGAACCGGATTCAGTTATTCTTTTACGTCATCGCACGGCTCCTGACACCCGGTGTGGCACATTAAAACGTACCGATCAAGACACACACACACACACACACACACAGGCCTATTTCCGATTAGTTTCGTTAATAAAAGTAATAATAGGCTATAAATACGTTTCCATAATCCAAGACTCCTAGTTCAATTTGTTGCAGCCGTGATTCATCTTATAAACAAATATTTTGAATCTAAATATCATTTGCGGCAATGAATTGCTTATTGTGAACCAGTTCAAATAATTCTTTAAAAAGATTCGACTCAAATAATGATTCATTCCAGTGAATTCCAAGAAACTTCAACGCAGTCACGCTGTTTCTATGCATAGGTCTGGAATAAAGCTTTATTATTGAACACTTCACTGAGCAGAGTATGTCAAACAAAAATCTGCCCCCTTAATTCTACAAAAGCCAACCAATCATCAGTCACTGAATGTCCTCATTTGCAAATAAGGATTCTTTCTCATAAAACTAGGCGAGGCTAAGTAGTTCACCTTTCTTAAAGGGACATGCAGTAGTATGCCGCTGTGAAGGAGTGATACAGAAACAGGCAAGACACAACAGGCACACATGGGTGTGTGAAGAAAGCGAGAGCGGTTTGGGGTCTTGATGCAATAATCTCACATAATATTTCTAAGTACGAAGGTGATCTTTTCTTAGAATCACACTTTCAATGATTTATTGCTCTTAAACGAATCATTGCATATTTTAAGACCCTATAAAAAGCTAACTTGCATACATCAGCTCAAATCTCTTGTCATTGTTAATCTCATGCATTGTCCTCTAGGGAGCACAGTTTCTTTTGCAGTGACAAACATCATGGATACGCACTGAAAGAGCCACTCTACCTTCTGGTCTGTACTGGGCAATGATGGTCACCGTCTGTCCAGCCCTCTTCAGTGCAGCAGCAGCCTGCTCATGGGTAGCATTGCGCAGGTTTACACCATTCACCTGGGACAATACCATGGTAATAGATTAAAACAACAACCCCCACACACCACACACTCACGCAAATCACATGATGCAATGCCAGCTCTAAGACTTCATACCAATTTAAGGAGCAGATTGTATTAGGAATCATGAAAAAATCCATTCCTCTTTCTTTCCATATAATATACACTAAAGAATATATCTGGTTGGGGTCAGTACGATTTATTTTTTTTTTTGTAAAGAAATTAATACTTTTATTCACCAAGGATGCATTATATTGATTGAAAGTGGGAGTAAATCAATACTGTTCTTTCTATTCATCAGAGAATCCTGAAAAAATGTAGGTTTCCACAAAAATATTAAGCAACACAACTGTTGACAACAGTTATAATAACAAATATAATAAATAAACAGCAAATCAGCATATTAGAATGATTTCAGAAGGATCATATGACACTGAAGACTGGAGACTGGAGCTTTGCAATCACAGGTATAATTACATTTGATAAAATATGTGACCCTGGACCACAAAACCAGTCATAACTAGCACAGGTATTTGTAGCAAGACCCAACAATACATTGTATGGGTCAAAATTATCGATTTTTCTTTTATGCCAAAAATCGTTAGGATATTAAGTAAATATCATGTTTCATGAAGATATTTTGTAAATTTCCTACTGTAAATATATCAAAACATAATTTTTGATTAGAAATATGCAATGCTAAGAACTTCATTTGGACAACTTTAAAGGTGATTTTCTCAATATCTTGATTTTTTTGCACCCTCAGATTCCAGATTTTCAAATAGTTGTATCTCAGCCAAATATTGTCCTATCCTAACAAACCAATTTTTAAAAAATTACCCTTATGACTGGTTTTGTGGTCCATGGTCACATATGTATAAAATATATTAAAATTAAAAACATCATTTTAAATTGTAATAATATTTCACAATATTTCTGTTTTTACTGTATGTTTGATTAAATAAATGCAGCCTTGGTCAACATAAGACTATGGAAGCTGGTTTCCACCACGGGATAAAAAAATAAAAAAGTCAGAATTGGGAGATAAAATATTGCAATTACCCTTTAAATTTTTTTTATTCCATGGCGGAAACTGGCTTCCATATAAGACACTTTACAAGACACGTCTTGTAATTTTCACTATTTGAACACGAGTGTCATGGACAGTTACTGACCGATAGGATGCGGTCTCCTCTCCTCAGCTCTCCGCTCAGGTCGGCTGGCCCACCTGCCAAGATGAAAGACACGAAGATGCCCTCTCCATCCTCGCCACCCACAATGTTGAATCCCAAACCTGTAGAACCCTTGTGCAGCAGGATCTTCCGCGGCTCCCTGCCAAGCAGAACCACAGTGTCAGAGATCAGGATGGACTCGGATCACCACAGCAGCAAGGAGAGGACGAAAGACAGACATGTATGTGCAATGAAAAAAGAAATATAGAGGAAAAACCACATTAAGAAGTTTGAGAGTGGGGTGGTTTTTAGACATGTTTCAAAAATATTCCCAAAGCTTCATTCATCCCAGACTGCAGCAAGAAAGAATGAGAATTCAGAGGGCAAAGGAACAATGATAATGTTTCAGTCTAGCCAGAAGGTAAATTATTATTTTGCATTTCGTTTTCCTCCTGTCGTTTACAGTGAGCGGAAATCGAGATGAACAGATTCATGAGAGCACACAATGCTCTAGTCACGACTAGAGGAGACTGGCAAACTTTCATCCACAACAAAGCTAAACAGCAAGTGCTCCAGATTTGTTCCAGAAATGAGCGCTAACACATACACACCGATAACTAACACACTTTCACACCCGGGCACAAAACGCGTTCACACATTGAGCTCATCCCTGCCTTGTGCAGGACTGCGGTACTGTTTTAGCAGCCGTGATTCATCAGCAGGCAGAGAGGCATTCCAGACTGCCCAGATCTGGCACACCAGCAAGACTCAACTACATTCAGCGGCCGTCAAAACCCCTTTCCGAATGTACTGCAGAATAACACACGAAAACCAGTTCCCTAAAATGCAACACACATCCACATTTGTAGTGACAGCTCCCAGCTTTCAGCAGTGCAGTACGCATGTTTCTCATTAGAATTCTGCACTACCACAGAACTCGGCTGGCTCTCGACATGACCCATTCCACCTCCATTGCCCATGGTACAGCTTTATGATGCTGAAAACAGCACTTTTATGTGAGCGGATGACTTATGCTTTTAGGAAGTGTTTTGTGCATATATGAAACATACATAATGAACATATAGACTGGAGTGTGAATCAATTTACTGAGAACCTTATGTCCATAAATTTAATGAAGGTGGTAAACAGATTTTAATCACCTTTTTTTACCTCCATTTATTACATGACACACTGTAAAACCATGGCCTCCACAACAGCTCCCTGCCTTCTGCCTCTCTGATGAATCTTTTGTACACAATGTTATTTTTTTAGTTCCTCTCTATTGCAGTCTGTCCCTGCTGTAAGCTGACAAATTGAAAATGCTCTCACACACACACATACATGCTAAACATCTGTGATTGATTACCTGGAAATACTGGAACCAGAATGAATTTCATTTGGTTATCCTGTTTTGAACATGCAATGTAGAGGTTGATACTTTACAAACAAACATTATAATTAACCTGTTAAAACCCTGAAGAAATACCAGACAGGGTTGTAAATAATTCGAAAACTGAAAATGTTTGCACCCTTGTAGTTCAAGAAATTGAATTTCCACAGAAAACTGAAATTAAATGAAGATGAATTTAAATGCAATTGGCAATGGGTTCCGGGAAATGAAGTGTTGTACTACCCTGCTTCCACCATCAGGCATACAAACCTTCTAAGCTTTTTTCAAGAAAACTTTGTCAAGGCAAGGCATTTTTATTTCTAAAGCACATTTAAAAACAGCAGCGGCTGACCAAAGTGCTGTACAATCTAAAAACGTAAAACGATCAAATACACACTAAAAGAAAATACAATACAATAAAACAGATAAACTAAACTAAACTAACTCAAGCCAATATTCAAAGTTTGTTTTCACAAACATTGCTTCTATAAAGCATTCTATTCTATACATTCTAGCTAAAAAAAAAAAAAGTCATATGAATTTCTTTGAGTTTCCTTAAATTCAAATTCAAATTGCAATTCTATGTTTGGTACCTCAATTTAAATTTAATTCATTTCTGAATTGCACACAACCTGGATACCAAATGCTTTGTTGATTAAACACTAAGATCAGGTTGATTAAATCATAATCAGAAGTAATAAAATGAATGAAAACAGAGGCATATGAAACTGATTTTATGTGAACTGAGTTAATTAAAGGCAATTATTATTAATGTCTAGATCAAACACTTATTAGGTCTAGTAATAAATGTTTGTACTAAATTAAGTGAACATATGCTTTTATTAAAAAGATGGGAGATTAGTACTAAGAATTTATTTCAAATTCATACCTTTTATACCAAAGCAAATAAAGAAATGAACAGCAAATATGTTGCTATTGCAGAGCTGTACAATTCACAGCTTCCTGGTGTACAACAAGATAAAGCAGTTATCAGATGCAAACAGTCACTCACTCAAACCACCACCTGGACCTACTATACCTGTTCATGAGGGTGATGCTTGTCCGGCCTCGTCTCTCTACATTGGACTTTACCATTGGCAAGGAAGACGAGATGTTAACAGTGAACATGGTGCCTGCCACTAGCTACCCGGCAGGGTTATGAAGAAAATTATCCCAGGACGCTGTATCTCAGTCCAGACCAGCGGTGAATGCCGTATGTGTATATGTGTGCTTTCTCTAAGTGTAGGGGGAGTGATGGGAAACAGCACCACATCGCCTGTCACGCTGTCACCCCTGCAGCAACAGGGTAAGACTTAACTCTTACCAAGCCACTCCACTCTTACCAAGTCACTCCAACCATCCAACACAATAACACATCTTTGATTTTGAAGTTAACGATCAGGAATTGATTGGATCATGAAAAGTAGCTTATTCGTAAATGACTATCTTGTTGTATCTGCATGTGAAACAAAGTCTAAGAAGCTATTTATTTGGGTAACATTATGCAATAGTTCATGTGGCCTAAGTGATGCCAGTGCACAAGGAAAGTTGCTTCAGAGGAGAGAGGAAGTTACTTTTTTTTGTAATTAAAAATGAGAAAGACTGTTGATTTTCTTTGCAATAACTTGCAAAAATGAATTGGTTAGTATAAGACCAAAATGTGCATTAAGAGAGTAAAAGTTGTCTATTTTGTAAATATTTTATCTCATCCACCCTATTTTGCAAAGTGGAGGGTAACCAGTGTGTTTGCATTATGAAAATACATTAGAATAATAAAAAAAATACCTGTTTGCAATATCAAGCAGCATAATGAGCTATTTTGTACAGCTAAAAATAACTAAGCAATTGACACCAGAAGCCTCAAATATTCAAGTCACAAATGACCGTGCCTGTTCTTATATTAAGAACAAGGTGGATATGGCGGATATCAACTTTTGTAGAGTGTTTATTGTTGTCACTCCTTCTCCAATAATCTCTATGGCATATGTGCCCCCCAACCACAACCACAACCACCACGCCAACTTTGTGGCACAGGATGAAATTCCCCGCCCTCATTGAAGGATGACCACAAGGCTCAGAAGTTTACAGGGTTGCAATGCCCCAGTGCAGTCTGTCTGCTTCTCTTTCCACTCTAAGTAATTGGCTCTGGTTGGGTGATTAATGGTGGACACAGTGGATACTGTTCTCCGGAAACACAGAGACATAATTCTCCCTGGAAAACATGTTCTCTTTGGCAGGATCACAGGCTCATGGCTTTCATAACTGCTATGGGCTGCTCTCTCTTCCTCTTTTCTCCGCGTTTTCAAAGCTCTGGGTAAAACCACCGATCTCTTCCTCAGAACACACTACTTCAGTCCCATTTGACTTCATGCCAAGAGACGTTCAAGATATTTCCAGCCTCTCCGAGCAGCTAAGAATAAACCAAGCGTGTCAACAGTTTACAATCAGGTAAGAATAAACCCTTTACACTGAGTAAAGCTGCCAAAAAGTACCCCTGTTCAATCATATTGAATCCCGCCTGTTATTTGCACAGTATAAACTAAACCTAATGACAAATGATGAAATTGCTTGACACTCGTGTTGCTTTATTGACAACGATGTTGTAAAGATTTAGATTCTGAATTGTCAATGGCACTGAGAAATAGAAGCTTATATTTACTCAACTATATGGTTGCTTCAGCTGTAAGTTACCCTGGTAGCTCAAATTAGTGCAAATTTATGTACTACTAAGTATTTGAAACATAACCATACATATAAACCAAATTTACCAAAACCTCTAACTAGGAATAATGGTTGAAATAACATGGCAGACAGATTAAATGACATAAATTCACCCTTCAAATGTTTGGACTCTATATGATTTTTTAAAAATGTTTTTAAGTCTCTTACTCTTACTCTCACCAATGCAACATTATTTGATCAAATATCAAATATACAGTAAAAACAGCAATATTGCCAAATATTATTACAATTTAAAACAACTTTTCTATTTGAATATTTTTGAAACTGTAAAAAAAAAATCATTCAGAAATCATGATAATCTGATCATAAATATGCTTAATTTTTATTTATTTATTTGTGTAAACCATGCCATTTCTGTCAGGATCCTTTAATAGAAAGGTTAAAAAAAAACTGCATTTATTTGAATTATTTTGTAACATTACAAATGCCTTTTTATCAGTTCAGTGCATCCTTATTGAATAAAAGTATTCATTTCTTAAAAACATTCATTCTCAGTGAACCCAAATTTTTGAATTGTGTATATTTATTATATATTATAGAGAGATGTGAATAAATAAGTTCACAGCTGCTCTCCTGCATGAAACTGATCTTAACAATGAACGTTCCCATGGTGCCCTGCTTCACTTGCAAGACAAAAAATTTAAATTAAATTTTAAAACTGTCAAAATCTTTGAATCAACCATTCCTGAATACTGATTATTTACATATTTATATATACAAATAATTTTATTTAATGACTTTTATGTATTGAGTTATTTAATTTATACTGTATATCTATTATAGTTTGCAACATCAAACATAACCAGATAAACTGCAATGCACAGCTTTTCAACTCTACATCTGCTTACAAATTTGACTAACCAAGCAGTAGGTGACTAATAATAAAGGTTACTAATCCCCTAGTGTGGACTTTACCTCCCAAATAAAGACCATGCAAATGGTTGGTGCACCTCTACCCTTCAACACTTTCTGTGCAAACAGTTCCATCTAATCATTTTTTTTTTCTTTCCCAAAATTCCCAACCTGTA